TTTACAGGTAGAATACAAGCATATTACCCACATGATCACTGGGCAGCTGATCTGGCTGTTTTTTCCCTGCCTACAGCACAACCTATTTTTGAAAGCTTAATGCAGGCATCACACCTCGCTCATGTCAGCACTAACCCCTGGGGTTATCACTTGATTACAAGCATTGCAACTTGACAAAATGCATGATTAGTCGTGCTGAGAAGAGAGATAGACATGGTTACGTAATACGAAAAAGATACAACCAGAAAGGAATCCGAATAGACGTAGAAAGTTAACCGAGTAAAAAAATTGGTCAATTAAGTAGGACAAAGAGAGTTGCGTAATAATAAAATGAGAAGGGTGAAGTGTCAACAGTAAGCGCAGTGGCACGACATTTGCTGGTTACCGGATACTGATTCGACAAACGCAACGCTTTCCGCGTTGTGCTCAAAGTTTGAAGCCCAAGGACGCTTAGGTTCGCTGAAGCGGTTGTTATTAGCCCCTGAAAGCCTGATCTATGCGTGCAAAAGGCCTTTGTTATGCCGTCGTTACTACCATGGTAATTCCCCTCCTCTTTCCTTCCCATCATCTCAACCGTTCTCTTACATCATCGTTGACACTTCACCCTTCTCATTTTCTTATTACGTAACTCTCTTTGACGTACTTAATGGACCAACTTTTTTACTCCGTTAACTTTCTACGTCTATTCGGATTCATTTTTGGTTGTATCTTTTTCGCATTACGTAACCATGTCTAACTCTACTTCCACCACGGCTAATCGTTTTCCATTACGTAACTGTTTCTATGCGTTATATGAGTGTTGGATATCATGAACCGCGAGAATTTATGGAAATGATTCTGATGCAATGAATGGAAAAAGTTCGATCCAGCTGTAAAGTAAATAGTTTACATGAAAGTTCTGGGGTCAGATCATTAGTTGAGTTGATAAATTCACTTGGACGATAAAATGGAACGAGACTGGAACTGCTATACATAATTTTCAAACGCCTATTGTCTGAAGTTGAAAGTGTTCTGTGAAACTTTTTACTCCGCAATCGAACTTCATTTTTTCTCCCTCGTAATACTGAACACAAAGGGTCTCGGCAGGATAAGCACCTGATTTTGTTTGACTTTTTGAATGAATCTTCAGGTGATAAAAGTACTTTTGATGAGACTAGGCAAGCTCAAAACAATAGTACTGTCCCTTATAGAGGAACTGGTTTGAGCAACATCGCTTCCAAGGATCTGTGGCATTATACTCTGTCGATTGTCTGTCACACGGGAACAGTGCTCGAATGAGAACCAGGATGGTTTCAGACTTATTCGAAGTTGCATCGTTTATGTTTTTAACCTCAAAATTCTTGGACAAATATATTACTTCCACAGATCCATTCTTTCTATCTTTCTTAAGCTACAATATTCCGGTGCTTATCGTTCTAGAAAGGTGTACTGAATAAGTAACATTCACTATTACAACCGCTCTATACGCATAGCTGAAGCTGAGTTTGAGCTTACATTTGTTTTTCTCCTGGCGTTCGCCTGGCTGGTTCTCTATGCTTTCCTTCTACTCAACTTTGCAATGGAAAAATTCTGGATACGGTTTTATCTTCTTGTCAGCTTAGCGGCATCGATATGCTCCCAGATGCTATGCTATCTGCTCTGGAGTACGCGCATGACAATGCACATTTGAGTGAAGATTCAACTACGCTGCAAACTTTTTAGAATGATTTGTGTGATACTTTATTAAGTTCATTTGGTATGCGTTTTATAGCTCCACGGTGTAAAATGTTGGTATAGGAGAGCGTTGATCTCACTCCCAACCTCACTCCAACAAGGCAAGCAATGAAGAAATAAGACAAATTCGGCGACCTTGGCAGCCACATCTTACCAGACGAACGAATCACGGATGAAGTATCGGCACACATATTGAAGGTTCCTGTGACATTATTCACCTTAAGACACCCTATGCACCATCGCGCTGTGTATGCTGGGGCTGTTGCCCAGTGGGCTCTCTTGTATAGTGAAAGGGAGTCAAAATAGGATCGGGTACTAGGATAAGAAAACCCTGACCAGGGGATGGTGTTAGGCTTCACGGTTGAGTAGATCAAGGTCGGTCTCATCAATGGCCACTAATCACATTGAGTGGCGCAAATAGTGCCACTCGGGCATCTGCCCAAATTCTTCCTAAATTTAGTTTGACTGTGTTCATTATATTGACACCGGTACTGCTCCTAGCTCTCGCCTCGTTCACTCTAGTCATTCAATCAGATGTACAGACAAAAGTGCGGCGCGAAAGGGCGACGTTAACGGTCGCGTGAACCGAA